TTTTATTTTTTTTTAATATTTTTTTTCAAATATTTTTTGCACAATACACATTTTATGATGTTTGCCTAAACTATTATCTAAACGACGAGGGACAGCAGGTTCACAAACTCATCGACATGCATGATGCAAATGGGTTCGTTTGAATGAGTGTTTGTTGGTTGGCATCTATGGCGTTGTGTTGTTGTTGTTGTATTTGGCAAAAAACATTGACTAAAAGTGTCAATGCCAATTAACAGTCATTATTTTCATGTTGAACTAAACACAGGCATACACACCAACACAGACACACACACACATATATCCGGTATATAACGGCCAGAATTGAATGACCATTGTCGATTTGAAAATTGAATTTCCAAATAACAATTTCTCAAATATGAATGACCTCTCTCTCTCTCTCTCTCTCTCTCTCGCTCTTGCTCACTCTCTATCTGTCTGTCTGTCTTTCAGCACTTGTTTTACTTCTAATTAATTTGTCCTTGTAACGGCAGAGAATAAAAGAGGCTTCTGTTAAAATTTCATGTTGACCTCCCCCAGAGAAGAGGGTATTTTGTATGGGGGGAGTGAAGGCAAGTGTGAACTGCCATTGGGTTGTCAGCAAGTGTGTGAACTTGTCGTTCTTGGAATTTTCTAGGATTTTTTATTGCAAAAACGTTTACCAGCTTCTATGAAATATTGATATTGACAATCGAATGTTTTTTCTATGTTTGTTTGCTTGCTATCCAGGACATTTTATTTTCTGTGGCATATTCGAATTTTTTATCTTAAATGGAAGTGGTTGTTTGGAAAGAGGAATTGAAATATTTTCTAATTGGATTTTTTTTTTGTTGAAAAAAATTTACAATTAGTTAAGCTCTATAAATACTTGGGGATTTTTTGAAGTCCTGTCAATGACAAAATATTTTTTTAAGAAAAAATTCTGTAAAAAAATTTAAAAACTAATTCTGGACCATAAGAAATTTTCTTAATCCCTCATCTTATCTCCTGGAAAAATGAAAAAACTTTAAGGGTTAGAGAATCAGGTTAAGAGAAGTCAATCAAATCAAGATCCATCAAATAGCCTTGATACTCCTTGTAAAATGTTTGAAAAGATCTTGAATCATTCTGAAAACAATATTTGAAAAAAAAAAATCATAAGTTGATGATCCTTGAAAAAAGGTATGGTTATGATCTTGAATAGTTATATTTTCGAAGAAATCTAAGATTATAGCCTTGAAGGTCCAATATTTTGGGGATTTCAAGCCATCATTAAAAAAACTCCAAGCTACGGTTGTAATTGTTTTCAAGGCCTTATAGGTCGTTGAAGCTATGTTTTAAAAAAAATTACAATTATAGCCTGGAGATCCTTGAAAAAAAAAATAGAAAAACCAAAATTATAGGTTTTAAAGTCTTAAATACAGTCTTAAAGATAATCGATTATAAATCGGACTATAAATCCTTAAAAAATGCCAAAAGAAGTACAAGATTATGGGCTGGGAATTTCATCAAAACTAGTTTGAAAGAATTCAAAAATGTTGCTTTATCGGTCTACTATTATAAAGTCTTGAAGGTCCTTGAAAAATCAGTTTACAAACAACCGCAATTAAACCCTTAAATATCCTTGAAAAACATTTGAAAAATCTAATATGATGGACTTTAAGATCCGCAATTATACCGGCTTGAAGGTCCTTAACAAAAGACAATTATTGTCCGAAAGGAAGGTCCTTAAAAAAATGGCAAGGTACCAGTAGATTATATTTTTACAAAGGTCGTTCCAAAAAAGTCGAAAAAAATTAAGGCTAAAAAGTCCAGGATTAAAGGTCCTCAAAAATGCCAAAAGAAATCCAAGATTATAACGTTCACGAAAGATGGTTTGAAAATGTGCAAGATCATAGCCCTGAAGATCCAAAACTATATTATCCTTGAAAAATCAGTTTACAAACAAACGCAATTAAAGCCTGAAGATCCGCAATTATAAAGTCTTGAAAGTCCTTAAAAAAGTTTAAAAATAGACACATATTTTCTTAAAGGAAGATCCTTTAAAACATTATCTTAAAAAAAATCAAGTTTACGTCCATGAATATCCTCGATATAGTGATATAGGCCCTCCCATGAAAATGGTAAAAATTATAAATTTAAATACCTAGTCCTGAAGTCCTAAAAACAAAGTTTTAAAAATCCACAATTAAGGTCTGAAACTTCATTGACAAAATGTTCAAAAGTCTAAGATTGTAGCCATAATGATCCAGGTTATAGGTTTTTTAAAATTGTTGAAAGTATCGAAGATTATACCCTTGAAGATCAATGATTGTATAGGCTTGAAGGTTCTTGAAACTAGCTAAAATATCCACGATTATAGTTTGGAAGTACTTCCTTCCTTGAAAAAAATGGCGTAAAAAATTGAAATGACACCGTAGAGGATCATCAATTGTACTATAGTCTTGAAAATCTTTAAAATCAGCTAACCAAAAATCTGCTATTAAAAACCTGGAATGTCCTCGAAACAAATTTCAAAAATCCAAATTGAAGATCCACGATTCAAAAACTTAAATGACCTTAAAAAGTTTAATATTAAACGACTAAAGACTCGAAAGAAAGTCCTTAAAAAATATCTCAACCAATCAAACTTACAGTCTTGAAGATCCTCGATTACATAGCTATTAAATTAAATAAACGCCTAGAAAGTCCAGGATTAAAGGTCCTCAAATATGTAAAAACCAAGGAAATTTTATGAAATATGATTTAAAAAATGTAAGATCATAGCCCTGAAGATCCAAAATGATATAGTCTTGCAGTTTCTTGCAAGCTCAGTTTACAAACAACAGCAATTACAGCCTGAAAGATCCTTCAATAAAGTTTCAAAAATCCAATATGACAGCATATATGATCGACGATTATAAAGTCCCTAAAAAACTACAAAAATAGACAATTATTTCCTGGATGGAAGGTCCTTAAAATTTATCTTAACTAAATTCACGGTTACAAACTTAAAGATCCTCGATTATACAGGGTGAGATAAAAAAAACTGCAACAAAGTCAAACGCCATAATTTTTACATTTTTTTTTAATTTTATTGAATTAAAGCAAAAAATAACACCAAAATTTAGAATAAGTTTAGATTTGTTCGAATTGGCCACCTTTGGCACGAATTATGGCCTTCAAACGGCCAATGTAACCGTCACACGCTGCCCGCATGTTTTTCTGTGGTATTTTGGCCCATTCCCGACGAAGCCCTTGCTTGAGGTGATCGACAATTTGGTATTTTTTATTGCCAACCTTGCTTTTCAAAATACTTTAGACACAATTGACTAAAGGATTGGTAACCGAAGATTTTGGTGGTCATTGTGCGCAGGAAATGAAGCGAGGAACCTCTTTTTGTAATCATTCTTGGGTGGCTCGTTCTGAGTGCGATTGTGCTGAATTCTGTTGGAATGTCCAAGGTCTGCGACCAAAATGTTTGCTTGTCCAAGGCTTTAACACACCCTCCAGGATATTTTCGCGATAATATTCGGCATTTATTTTGATGCCACGGTCTATTAATACGAGCGGAGAGCCACCATTGGCTGTAATGGCGGCCCACACCATCGCCATGGCCGGCGCTTGAGTTCTGGTGGCCAACCGATAGTGCACATTTTCAGCTGAACTCTTTGGCAAGTAAAAACGATCATATTGTTTGTTTACAAACTGCTGGACAACGAATGTTTTCTCTTCATCGGAGAAACCCAAATTCGACAGTTCACCACTTTCGGCCAAGCGAGGCAACTCTTTAGCCTTTTTTGAGTATATTTTCTTTCTGTTGCGGTGTAAGTTCTTGCATTTTTTGGAATTGAAGTGGCTTTACCCCGAGCTCATTTTTCAATATTTGCCGAATGGAATATTGCGATATGTTCATCTCACGAGCCATTTTTCGGCCACTGCGAAGCAGGTTTCGATCAAGTCTCTTCTTTACTTTTCGAACCATATCTGCTGATATTGCTGTTTTCTTCCGTCCACTTCCTTGACTTCGGGCTAAGCTACCAGTATTACGGTAACGAGGGATGGTACGAGCGATAGTCACTTGAAATATATTTCATAAATGCCATTCCCGCAAATGGCCTGGTTATTGTCCTTTTAAGTCCTTTCATAAATACTAAAATACTACAATTATAGTTTATTGATACTCCTTTGAAAAATATTTTAAAAATATGACACATTAATGTCTCTGCTCGTCCTTGAAAAAAATCATTCTTCCAAAACATCCGCAATTAAATCAGTAATTGTCCTTGAAAAAATATTTTTAGAAGTTCTCAGCCTTGCCGGGCAATTAATTTCCTTCTTCTACTTTGTGTGTGCGTTGTTTTTTTTTTCAAACTCTAACAAGCAAATTAAATTTCAAGGTTTTTCGTTTTGCCATTTGCCACCCCTCCCCCCCGAAATTCAATGTTACTTCAGTCACCCCACAAAACGCACAGTAATTGCAAGCACATGGATCTCTTTGCATGTAAAATGAATTCTGATTGCCCAACCGACAATAATAGAATTTGTTTCAAAACCAACAATGCAGAAAAATTTACGACTTTAAACAAAATCATAGCCAAGTTAATTAAACAATTAATGACACGCCACAATGGCTTGTTAAACGAATTTAAAAACGAATTGTAAAACAAAGAGGTTGAAACGCAACTTAAGTTTTGTGCACTCTTCCACCATTCGGGGTGTATGCACGGGTATGTATGTATGTATATACCATGCACCTAAAGTTACTTGTCCAAGTAACAGGCCCCCTTCCCCACCACCAACCAAATATCTTCTATGGAGGGCCATAAAAAATATTGTTATTTCCGATTTTTGGAGGTCCATCCGAGCATTTTACTACAGCAGCTGCCACAATTGCCATGGTAGTTATCTACGTGCCTTGACTTCATATCGCGCTCCTCTTCAGAACCCTTTATTTATATCTCTGTTCGGCCACGTCTACATATTTTTTAATTCATTGTTTTTTTTTTTTTAATTAACTTCTTTTTCTTCTTGTTGTTTTGCAGATTTTAACGGATTTGGTACAAGGTGAATTCATGCAGCTGGGTTCAAGGGAAACCGAAAACGAACGCTTTGCCCACTATTTGACAAAGACATACAGGAAAACGGCTTCACTGATAGCCAACACACTGAAGGCGGTAAGTTTAGCAAAAAAAAAAAAAAAAAAAAAAAAAAAAAATCGAAAAATGCATTGAAGCGTTAATAAACAATTGGTAAAACAACAACTGAAAACATTTTTAAAAAAAATTTAATAACATGTATCAATGTACCTTAACCTGATAACAGTGCACGCATGCAATTAATCGATAATTTGAGTGTGTGTGCAGTTTTAATGGTTATTATTATTTAAAGAGGGTAGTTCGGAAATTGGTGGTAATTTTTTTTTCAGTTTTCTGAAAAATATTCAAAAACGCCCCGGATGTAAGCCACTGAAAGTCCACGATTATAGTCTTTTGAAAAATAAAAAAAATCGAAATTAATCTTTTTCTTTAAAAAGAGTATCAAATTACCAAGAATTACAATTCTAATAGTTCTTTAAGCTATTTTGAAAAGGTGCACATTTATAGTCCTTTTAAAAATAATAAAAAAATTTGGGATTACAAATCTATGAAAATTATTTTAACAATCTAGGATTGCAGTCCTTTGATACTCCTTTGAAAAATGTTTGTAAAAAAATAGTAATTATTCTTTGAAACTAAAAATTAATTGTTTTAATCCAATATTTTAAAAATACACGAAATATTTAAATATAATTATGGTTATTTATATTTTTTCGAAAGTTATTCGAAAAAAAAATTGAAAAAAAAAATTAAAAAATCCGCGAATATATCCTTGGATGGACGTTTCGAAAATATTTAAAAATCCTTATTTATAGGCATATGAAAAATTTCTAAATGCATAAAAATCCACAAATATAATCCTTGGATAGCCCAAATTTTATTGAAAAATTCGCGAAAAAAAATCCTTGATTATAGTCCGTCGAGAAATATTTTAAAATCTCCAAGATAATAGTTCCCTAGAAAAATATTAAAAAAATCGCTATTACAGTCCTTTGATATTCCTTTGAAAAATATTTTGAAAAATGCCTGGAAAATATATTATATTATATAAATATACAATATTGAAAAATATTTAAAAAAAATCTTTGAAAAATCAAACAATTATGGTCCATTGAAAAATATTAAAACTTCCAAATTCCTGGAAAATATATTTAAAAAATCATTGATTATGGCCCTTCAATATTCCTTTGAAAAATATATAAAAATATCCTTTAAAAAAATCTTTGAAAAATCAAACAATTATTGTCCATTGAAAAATATTAAAACTAAGAACCATTACAGTTTTCAGAAAAAAATCAAAGTTCCCTCACAAAATAATCCACAATTACAGTCCTTTGTCCTTCCATTGAAAAAAAATTTAAAAAGTCTTCAGAAAAAATTTTAAAGTTCCCTCACAGAATAATCCACAATTACAGTCCTTTGCCCTTCCATTGAAAAAAGTATACAAAGAAAGGTATTCCAAAATCTAAGATTTACTCCTTTAAAAAATAATAAAAAAATCCACAATTATAGTCCTTGAAATATTTATTAAAAGAATCCATGATTACAATCCTTTATATTCCTTGGGAAATATTTTGAAAATCCTTTGAGATATATTCATAAAAAAATCCTTTTATATTCCTTTGAAAAATATTCATGAAAATTTCTTGAAAGACATTTTAAAAATCAATGATTATGGTCCTTCAAAACTCCTAAAATTAAAGTCCATGGAAAAATATTAAAAGAACTACAGTCCTTGGAAAAATGTTAAACTTCCTTCAGAAATATTAAAAAAAATACACAGTTATACGATTATAATAATAGCCCTTTGTACTTCCATTGAAACAATTATAGAAAGTCCCTTAAAAGATATTTTAAAAACCATAACTGAGTTCGGAAAAAATTATTAAAAAAGTCCACAATTATAGTCCTCTTAAAATATATACTAAAAAATCCATTTTCTCCTTTAAAAAATATAGAAAAAAATTCAAAATTCTAGTCCTTTAAAAATATTTATTAAAAGAATCCATGATTACAATCTTTTATATTTTTTGGGAAATGATTACGGTCCTTCAGTACTCCTAAAATTATAGTCCATTGAAAATATTAAAAGAACTACCATTAGAGTCCTTGGGAAAAATGTTAAACTTCCTTCAGAAATATTAAAAAAAAAACAATCCACAATTTTACGATTATAATTATAATTAAAGTCCTTTGTCCTTCAATTGAAACAATTATAGAAAGTCCCTTAAATTATATTTTAAAATCCATAACTGAGTTCGAAAAAAAATTATTAAAAAAGTCCACAATTATAGTCCTCTCGAAAGATAAAATTAAAAAATCCATGATTACATTCTTTTGATATATCTTTGAAAAATATTTAGAATATCCTTTGAGAAATATTTAAATTTTTTAATAAAATCAGTGATTATAGTGCTTTGAAATCTATTAAAAAATCCTTTAACAGTTCTTAGGAAAAAATGTTAAATTTCTTCAAAAATATTTAAACAATCCACCAGAACCGTGGTAAACATTTATTAAAAAAACATTTATTAAAAAAAAACATTAATTAAAAAATATTTATTAAAAAAAACATTTATTAAAAAAAAAACATTTATTAAAAAAAAAACATTTATTAAAAAAACCATCCTTGACATTATATGGTAAAATATTTTAAATATCCTTTGAAAAATATTAAAAAAAATTCAAAAAGGACTATACTTTGTCCTTCCATTGAAAATAATTATAAAAATTCTATTGAAAGATATTTAAAAATCCATGACTGAGTCCTTTAAAAATATTTTAAAAAATCCACAATTATAGTCTATAAAAATATCCACGATTACATTATTTTGATATTTCTTTGAAAATATTTAGAATATCCTTTGAGAAAGAATTAAAAAATACTACGATTAACATCCTTTTTTTTATATTCCTTTGAAAAATATTTAAAAAATCTATGATTATAATCCTTCACCTCCTACAAAAGTAATACCATTTAGTACTTTTCGTACTATTATAGTACATATTTTCGAAACCACCTCCTTATCTCCATGCTCACATGAGCAGCAATCCTAATATCAAGATTCAAGTTTCTATCACAATCTTTTTATCCAATACCAAATTGTATCAAATGTCGTTCGATTTAGTACTTTTTGTACAGTTATAGTACACTTTTCCAAAAACACCCGCATGTCTCAATTCCAGATCCAGAACCAGACCTCAATATCATATTTCGTGATTCCAGCTCTATTCTTTCGCCCAATACCCAATTTAGTACCATTATTAGTTTTCGTACAAATATAGGCCGAATTTCTAAACCACATCCATATCTCAATCTCAGATACCAACAGAATATAAGATTTCCGAATGATATTTCTATTTCTTTAAAATAAAACGAAATTTAATACTTCTCGTACAATTACAATAACATTTTCAAAACCCCCTACTACATACAGGGTGAGATAAAAAACTGCAATAAAGCCAAATTTTTAAATTTTTTTTTAATTTTATTGAATGAAAGCAAAGAATGTCGGAAATAGCATCAAATTTTAGAATAAGTTTAGATTTTGGCGATTTGGTCACCTTTGGCACGAATTATGACCTTCAAACGGCCAATGAAACCGTCACACGCTGCCCGAATGTTGCTCTGCGGTATTTTGGCCCATTCCCGGTGAAGCGCTTGCTTGAGGTGATCGACACTTTGGTATTTTTTAGTGCCAACCTTGCTTTCCAAAATACTCCAGACGCAATGGAGACACGAAATGGTATCCGGAGAATTTGGTGGCCATTGTGCGTTGGAAATGAAGCGAGGAAGCTCATTTTGTAACTATTCTTAGGTGGCGCGTGCTGAGTGCGATGGGGCTGAGTCCTGATGGAATGTCAAAGGTCTGCGGCCCAAGGCTTTGATACACCCTCCAAAGTATTTTCGCGATAATATTCGGCATTTATTCTGATGCCACGGTCGATTAATACGAGCGGAGAGCGACCATCGGCGGTTATGGCGGCCCACACCATCATCACCATGGCCGGCGCTTGAGTTTTGGTGGCCAACTGAAGGTGCACATTTTCAGCTGACCTCTTTGACAAGTAAACACGATCGTTTTGTTTGCAAACTGCTGGACAACGAATGTTTTCTCATCGGAGAAAACCAAATTCGGCAGTTCACCACTTTCGGCCAAGCGAAGCAACTCTTTAGCTCTTTTGAGTCTATTTTCTTTCGGTTGCGGTGTAAGTTCTTGCACTTTTTGGGTTTTCAATGGCTTTACCCCGAGCTCATTTTTCAATATTTGCCGAATGGAATATTGCAATGTGTTCAGCTCACGAGCCATTTTTCGGCCACTGCGACGCGGGTTTCGATCAAGTCGCTTCTTTACTTTTCGAACCATTTCTGCTGATGTTGCTGTTTTCTTCCGTCCACGTAGCCCGACGTCAAGGACTACGCTATCAGTATCACGAGACACAAAAGATTTATTCACATTTAAATGCTGAAGTGCTCTAACTATAGCCCCTCGTGGTCTTCCAGCCAAATATAAAGAAATTACACTATCACGCTTGAATTCCATCACGAATAACTTTTTTTTGAAAAATTCTCAGCTATCACTGGAACAATTTTAACAGCGTTCGGACGGCTTAGAAAGCAGTCTGAAGTTGGTTGCAGTTTTTTCATCTCACCCTTTACATCTATCATACACTTCCAAATCAAAGAGTATCTAATGATTAATGAAGTTTTTGAAAAATAAACAATTAGTAAATTTGTTTAAGAGTTACGGAATAGGGTCCCTGCCCTATGTCTACAATTTACATATTTACAATATAACAATTTCTTTGTACCCCTCTAATCCCTCTATTTTCTCTTTCCATTCCAGACGGCTGTCATCGCTGATGCCGACGAAAACCTCAAGGAATTGGCATTCCAATATGGACGGAATATTGGTTTGGCTTTCCAACTGGTCGACGATATGTTGGACTTTGTATCGTCGACAGAAACAATGGGTAAACCTGCCGCTGCTGATTTAAAACTGGGTCTTGCAACGGCTCCCGTTTTATTTGCCTGCGAAAAGGTAAGTGGCGGGGAAAATCAAGTTGTTTTACTTATTTTATAAATGAATATCAAAGTTAGTCATTGAGAAATTTATGCACGTTCCATTTGGGCTATTGTATTTATGGCCAAGTGATAGGTGATGTCGTCTTGGGTTGGCTTTTATTTAAAATTTTTTATAACGATTTAGTGATGGGCACTTAGCGACTTCCTTATGTGTCTAAGGCACGAGACTGATTACAGAGAGAAAAAAAAAAAAAAAAATTAAAAAATAATAAAATAAAATGACATAGCGAACAGTGGTTCAAGTGATTAATTAGGAGGGCATGGAATCATAAATTTTAAAAAATTCAAAAAATATTATTTTTCGATCATGATAAATTGCAAGTAATTTATAATCCCCCCCACACCAAAAACTGCAGAAGGTGTCTTCCAAATTTGCGACAATTTTATTATGTTTATGATAATTTAACAAATCTGCCATGCAAGTCATATCCGCAGCACAACGGCAAAAAAAAAACCGAGAAAAAAATACCGAAACATAACAACTTTATTTACTCGTAGTTTACTATTATTATCATAAACCTAGCTGTTGTTGTTGCTTCTTGCATTTTGAAGATAGACATTATAACAGCAACAGCTAGACCCATACCCATGGCATTTCGAAAATTTACTCACTGGAAACGTAGGTACATTTCGGTACATTTTATTCCCAATTACGTGGCATTTGTCTGCCTTATTGTCTTTTTGCTAACATTTTATTTGAGTTTTTTTATATTTTGTTTCCTCCTCTTCCTTCCCCTTGGGCGAAAAGCAACAATGTCTTTGCATACCAATTTTTTGTGGAGCAAAATGTTTTGTTTTGAATTTTTTTTTAGATAATAGTTTTGAATTTAAAAATTTGGTTTTCAATGAAGTTGTGTCACAACACTCAAAACAAGGGTTATTGTGCTTCAATGGGGGAATACCGTACAACAACACACACACAGAGAATATTTTGAAAATAAAAAAAAATAGTTATAAAATTATTTTATTATTAGATTGATAGTGTACGAAAATATTCCATTGATTTAAAATGGGAACACTACGGCGTATAATTGTTGGCAATAAGTATACGTCACAGAGTCATTGAAAATTGAGTTTTTTTTTATCGAAAATATGTATTTTTTGAATGTATTTTTTTATACCCTCCACCATAGTATGGGGGGTATATTAAGTTTGTCATTCCGTTTGTAACACCTCGAAATATACATTTTAGACCCCACAAATTATATCAAGAGATCAGCATAAAATTCTATGTCGATTTATCCATGCCCGTCCGTCTATCCGTCTATCCGTCTGTCGGTCTGTGAAAATCACTCTAGCTTCCGAACGAAATGAAGTAGGTTGATAAAATTTTACTCAAATGTGTATTATGTCTGCAGGATTTTTGGTATCGAAAATGAGCCATTTAGGCCCACGTCTTCGTATAGCCCCCATATAACGGAACCTCCCGATATTCGGTATTTTGATGATTTTAGCGAGATTATTCACCGGAATTGTTTCAAATTTGGTATTTGAAGTTCGTAATGTATACTACAGCCTATGACAGAAAATTGGCTGTGCAGGCTCACGTCTTCGTATAGCCCCCATATAACGGAATCTCCCGATATTCGGTATTTTAATGATTTTAGCGACATTATTTACCGAAATTGTTTAAAATTTGGTATTTGAAGTTTGTAATGGATACTACATCCCAAGACAGAAAATGGGCCATGTAGGTCCACGTCTTCGTATAGCCGCCATATAACGGAACCTCCCGATATTCGGTATTTTGCTGATTTTAGTGACATTATTCACCGGAATTGTTTCAAAATTGGTACTTAAATTTCGTAATAGATACTACGGCTTAAGACAGAAAATGGGCCATATAGGTCCACGTCTTCGTATAGCCCCCATATAACGGAACCTCCCGATATTCGGTAAAAATACCATCAAAAGATGATTTTAGAGACATTATTTACCGGAACTATTTCGAATTTAGTATTTGAAGTTCGTAATGGATACTACATCCCAAGACAGAAAATGAACCATGTAGGTCCACGTCTTCGTATAGCTCCCATATAACGGTACCTCCCTATATTCGGTATTTTGATGATTTTAGCGACATTATTTACCGGAATTGTTTAAAATTTAGTATTTGAAGTTCGTAAGGGATACTACAGCCTATGACTGAAAATTGTCTGTGCAGCTCCACGTCTTCGTATAGCCCCCGGTACCCCCTGATATTCGGTATTTTGATGATTTTAGCGACATTATATACCGGAATTGTTTCAAATTTCACATTTGAAGTTCGTAACGGATAGTACAGCCTATGACAGAAAATTGTCTGTACAGGTCCACGTTTTATAACCCCCATGGTACCTCCTTATATTTGGTATTTAAGATAAATAATTATATTTGTTATTTTGAGGGCTGGGGAGGGTATGTATCATTTGATACGGTCAAAACGTGCCTAGTCCAAATAACGGTTTTAGACCTAGGTATCTTTGGACCAAATCCGTTTCAGGACGTTTGGAGTCGATCCAGCGATATCCGTCCGTCTGTTTGTCTGGCTGGTGCGCACTATAACTCTCGAAGGGATTATTCGATCTGATCCAAACTTGGTACATCGTAATATTATTGTCAAACTTAGATTGAGTTCGGAGATGGGTAATACCGGTCCACTCCTTCTGGTACCTCCCCCACAAAAGGTCGAATTTTTCAAAAAATGTATTTTCTGCACAGAAATGGAAACGATAATCGGATTTTGCTCCAACTTTGCAAATTCTAATATTTGCATCAGTGCTAGGTCAGGTACGAAAATGGACGATATCGGTCCACTCCATCAGGGACCTCCCCCACAAAGTGTCAAAATTTTGAATAATTACAACTCTTATAAAATGTAAAGTGAGCGTCAAATTGTCTTCAAATTTCACACATCACAATATTTTTATTGACCCAAGGTCTGGGGTGAAGGTGCAATATATTGGTCCACTCCTTCTGGTACCTCCCCAACGCAGGGTACACATTTTGGATATGTATGAAACTCATATGACGTGAAATTAACATCCGTTTCCATTCTGACTTGGCACATCTCAATGTTTCTATCACCACAGGATCTCTTATGAAATTGGTAGAGATCGGACCACTTCTTGTTGTACCTCCCCCACAAAGGGTCAGAATTTTGAATAATTATAACTCTTATAAAATGTGTTGTTAGATTCGGATTGTCTTCAACTTACGCACATCCCAATATTTGTATTGACCCAAGGTCTAGTGGGAAGATGGTAAATATTGGACCATTCCTTCTGGCACGTCCCCCCCACAAAGGTCAACGTTTGGAATAACCAAAACGATCATTAAATCCGAAATAAGCATCCGATTATCTCCCAACTTCCATACATTACAATATTTTTATTAACCCAAGGTCTAGTGTGATGAAGGAATAAATCGGTCCACTCCTTCTGATACCTCCCCCCACAAAGGATCGAAATTTTGAATATTCATGAAGCTAAAAAAAACGCGAAACTAATATCCGATTCCATTATGACGCGGCACATCTCAATATTTCCGCCAAAACAAGATCTCTTATAAAGATGTCAAAGATCGGACCATTTCTTCTGGTACCTCCCACACATAGGGTTCAAGATTTTGAAAAACAAAACGCTCAACGAAAGCGAAATAAGCATCCAACTCTCTTCAAATTTTACACATCCAAACATTTTTGCTTGCGAAAGATCTGTTGTAAAGATGATAGATATCTGCAAACCCCTTCTGGTACATCCCCCCCAAAGAATCACAATTTCCAATACTTATATCTGTCATAACTTTCGAAACAAGTCGGCGATTCTGCACATTTTCCTTTCCTATATCTAAATAGTTCTCTTAACCTAAATTTTTTTCTGTCCAGAAGTCAGTACAGTATTTTTGATAATCCTTTTCGATTTCGAGGAAATTCCGATAACCGTCCTGCATTTTTTTAGAATTTATTTTTTTTAGAGTATTTTTTTAATTTATGGCTAATAATATTTACGCATTAGAATTTGGCGTATTTTACCGAATTTCTCTGAATCTCCTATGTGTAAAAATTATTCCGCACCAAAATTGCCAAGGAATATGGTGGCAGGCAACAATATAATACCAAGCAAACGTTCGTTCGTTCATCCATCTCAGCCAACTATAATCCACCAAACCCTCTACTCAGCCATCTTTCAATAATTACGTGTCCGACATGCACAATTATTGAAACATTATTTAATGATTAAGTCATAGTCGTGGCCAGCGCCAAGTTAAAATACAACAAAGTTGATATGGCATCGGAGAGTAAAAGCGGCAAAAGAGGGGGGAGGGTCTGGCTGGATGGATGGTGAGCCTGTGTTGATATAAGTTTTCGATATTTTATCAATCAACAAAATTGGCAACATTACAAAACTAAATAATTCGCAACTTTTGTGCAACTATTTGTGATTTTTTTTTTGGTTTCGTTATTTGCACAAAGTTAGGCTTGACACGTAGCCGACAAAATTGTAATTGAATTCGTAATGAAGAAAAAGTCAACAATCCCTCTTTCTACCCTCGTCTTCCCTTCGTCACTTGAAGGGATAAACTCGCTAAGCTGCGAATACTTGGCATACAAATGTTCTATGAAAAGCCGGAAAGTAGTTATGTCGTCAATTTGTCAATAGAAGTGAAATGAATCCATCATCGTCATCCACCAGCCACATCCCCACCCAGCCACAGTCACAGCCATGACTTGAACACTGGCCTCATCCAGGAATTTCATTTATGCCATGGCAGCATGGAATGCATGCCACAATTACTTGATGGAGGTGGTGATGGTGGCGATGATGATGATATGCACGTGTCATGCATTCATATTCCAGTAACGCATGGATCCGTAGCCATTGCTGTGGCAGTTACCATCGACAATGAAATGCGTCAATTGCTCACTGTCTGAGTGGCTGCTAATATTGCCGTCGCTCAAATAACGATGGGTATTACAATGTCTAGGATTGTCTAGAAAAGTGATAAACGTTACCCATGGTAAGCAGACATGGGCAGAAGATTGTGTGATAATATTCCAACAATGCCATGGAGATATGTTGGGTTATGCATAAAATGAAAGTCTGATCGTTGAAGACCTTGAAAGAAAATGTCGTGCTAAACATGTCATATTAGGAACTTCAAATTTTATTTTTTACTAGCAAGTACCCTCTACTTATTCAAGGGAAAGACCACCTTAGATTCCAATTTTAGATTCGAGAGTTGATTTTAGGTCTTTTCAGTACTCCAAATGGACAATTTGTTCAGTTTAACAACATTTTTATACCCTCCATCATAGTATGGAGGGTATATTAAGTTTGTCATTTCGTTTGTAACACCTCGAAATATACATTTTAGACCCCACAAAAAATATATATTCTTGATCAGCATAAAATTCTACGTCGATTTTTCAATATCCTTCCGGACTTTTGGTATTGAAAATGTGCCATGTAGGTCTACGTTTTTGTATAGCCCCCCTAAAACCGGTACCCCCGATATTCGGTATTTTGATGATTTTAGCCACACTATTTACCGGAATTGTTTCATATTTGGTATTTGAAGTTCGTAATGGATACTAGAGTCTAAAACAGAAAATGAGCCATATGGGTCCACGTCTTCGTATAGCCCCCATATAACGGTACCCCTCGATATTCGGTATTTTGATGAGTTTAGAGACATTATTTATCGGAATTGTTTCAAATTTCGTACTGGAAGATTCTAATGGGTTACTACAACCTATGGCAAAAAATTTTGTATGCAGGTCCACGTCTTCGTATAGCCCCCATATAAGGGTACCCCCGATATTCGGTATTTTGATGATTTCAGCAACATTATTCACCGGAATAGTTTCAAATTTCGTACTGGAAGGTCCTAATGGGTTACTACAACCAATGACAAAAAATGTTGTATGCAGGTCCAGATCTTCGTATAGCCACCATATAACGGTACCTCCCGATATTCGGTATTTTGATGATTTTTGCGACATTGTTTATCGAAATTATTTCAAATTTCGTACTGAAAGGTCCTAATGGGTACTACAACCTATGGCAAAAAAATCTTGTATGCAGATCCACGTCTTCGCATAGCCCCCATATAACGGTACCCTCCGATATTCGGTATTTTGATGATTTTAGCGACATTATTTACCAGAATCGTTTCAAACTTCGTATTGAAAGATCCTTATGGGTACTACAACCTATGGCAAAAAATGTTGTATACAGGTCCAAATGTTCGTATAGCCCCCATATAACGGTACCTCCCGATATTCGGTATTTTCATGATTTTTGGGACATTATTTACCGGAATTATTTCAAATTTCGTATTTGAAGTTCGTAATGGGCAGGACCACGTCTTCGTATAGCCCCCATATAACGGTACCTCCCGATATTCGGTATTTTGATGATTTTAGCGACATTTTTACGGGAATTATCGGGAATTTCGTATGCAGGACCACGTCTTCGTATAGTCCTCATATAACGGGTTTTATTTAAGTGATAGTTTTTGGATTTCTTTTTTTTTTTGAAAATTTTCAAGTTCCTTCGAAATTGTGGAGGACCGAACTTAGCAGATTTTCTACTTGTTTTATAGTAGTTCCGCTAATTAAAGATAATTGCCTTTCTTAATTGTTTAATAATTTTATTAATATTTTTTCCTTTAATCTCTCTTTCAGTACCCCGAATTGAATCCCATGATTATGCGTCGCTTCAGCGAACCCGGAGACGTGGAACGTGCCTTTGAATTGGTCCACAAATCACATGGCTTGGAACAGACCAGATTTTTGGCCAAGAAACATTGCATTGAGGCGATACGATTGGCTCAGGAATTGACCGAATCACCCTATCAGAAGGGTTTGCAGGTTGTTGCGGATTTAGTTATTAATCGTATGAAATAATTAGGGCTAATTTAGTTTTCAAAAAAGACAAAAAAAAAAAACAATAAACACAATCATGTTCATACACATACAAAATCAATCAAACAACCAACTATCCATCCCAAAATCACAACACCCTTTTGCACGTTACAGAAAAAATGAAAAATAAATGAAAAAAGGCAAAGAAGGGTAATTTAAAAAATTAAATTAAAAATAAAATTTAAAAAAAAAAAACAAAAACAAACAAAGGGAATGCAATAATTTATAAAACGATTTTTTATACATATATAAAACTTATATAAAAAAAGTAAATAATTAAATGTACAATTTGAAAATTTATAATAATACATTTTAATTGTAAAAAAAAAATAATAATAATAAAAAACAACAACATGAACATACAAACAAAGAAGAACAAGAAGCTATACATCATTGATGTCACCTGTTTTTTTTAAATGGTCGGTATTTGATAATGCCCACAAATACATGTGTATGTATGTATGTATGTATGAATAAATGTTATACATAATAAACAACAATTTTTTTTCTTAGATTTTAAGATTCTTTGTTGACATTTTTTTTAATTGTAAATAATTTATAAATTACAAAAGAAAAACAAGAAAAAGGCGAAACAATACCAATAAAGGAAATTAATTGAAAAAAAAAAAAAAAAAAAAAAAAATAATAGAAAACGAAACACTTTAAAATAAAATGTATTTTTTTTTTTAAACAAATAAAAACAATTAAATAATACAAACAAATTTGTCATATAAATATATTTAATGTACATAAAGGGGCGTTGATAAATGAAGCCAACTAACTATTACAACAATTACAAAAAAAAAAAAAAAACAAATAATGTAAACAATTTTGTTATTTAAATACAACGAACAAAAAATAATAATAAAACTAAAATAAACCAAGACAGACACCATACACACCTGTACATTAAAGTTTGCAACAAAAAATTGTTATTAAAAGACAAATTAAAAAAATTAAAATAATAATTATTGTTATTATAATACAATTCAAATGTAGCCCCCCATTATAGTCAATACATTTTAATGATATTATTTAATAAAAAAAGATTAAAATTTACAAAAAAAAAAAAAAAAATGTTATGTATTTTTTTATTAAAAGCCAATCATAGAAACTATAACTTTTTTCTACCCAAACCATATGTTGTTCATTTTTAGTGGTTTTTTTATTTTTTTTTTCTTAAATTTTTTGTTATAAAAAAAAATTATAAATAGTGTTATATTATTATTAATGTTAGGATAAATATACATTAAATGATTAAAAAAAAAACAAGTAAAAAAAAAATATCGGTCGATTTTGCCGACAGATGTATACCCTCAGCCAATGTTCGATTATTTTAAAATATTTTGACTTCTGTTATGAATTTTCAAACTCTATACCCTCTATTGAGTGGGTTTGGAAAGAATGGGTCAATATTGTCCATTTCGTATCGGACCTAGAAAATCGAACATTTATATCCAATTTATGGGAAATCATAAATTCCATATTCATCTCAGGATTCTAAATAAGAGACATATATTTCGATAATACAAGTTGTAAAGAATCGCTGAAATTATGACAGATAGTACTGAAAGTACTGAAATTTTTGTCCCTTTGTGGGTGAGGTACCAGAAGGGGTTCGCAGATATATAGCATCTTCAAAACATATCTTGTGTTAGCAAAAATATTTGTATGTGTGAAATTTGAAGAGATTTAGATGCTTATTTCACTTTCTTTGAGCGTTATGTTTTTCAAAATTGTGAACCCTATGTGGGGCAAGCAGCAAAAGAAATGGTCCGATCTCTTCCATTCTTATAAAAGATCTTGTATTGATGGAAATATTAAGATGTACCATGTCTGGAATGGAATTGGATGTTGATTTCGCTTTTTATGAACTTCATGGATATTCAAAATCTTATGATTATTCACAATTTTGACCCTTTGTGGGAGACGCACTTGATGGAGTGGACCAATATTATCTATTTTGGCACGAGATCTAAAACTGACGGAAATATCAGGATTTGCAAAATAAGAGCAAAATTAGATTATTGTTTCCCTTTCTGTGCAAAAAATATATATATATTTTTTAAATTTCGGCCTTTTGTGGGGGAGGTACCAGAAAGAGTGTACCGATATTGTCCATCTTAACACCAGACTAATAAAAATATTGGGATGTGTGAACTCTGAAGACAATCGGACTCTTACATCACATTTTATGAGAGTCGTAATTATTCAAAATTTTGACCATTTGTGGGGGAGGTACTTGCTAGAATGGACCGATATTGTCCATTTTCACACCTGACCTAGCACTGGCGCAAATATTAGGAATGGCAAAGTTGGAGCCAAATTGGACTATCCATTCTCTTTCTGTGCAAAAAAAAAAATATATTTTTTTTTTTTTTGAAAATTTCGACCATTTGTGGGGGAGGTACCAGAAGGAGTGGACCGATATTGCCCATCTCCGAACTCGATCTAAGTTTGACAAAAACATTACCATGCACCAAGTTTGGACCAAATAGGATACTCCCTTCGAGAGTTATCGTGCGCACCAGCAGCCAGACAGACAGACGGAAAATCGGGTCAAATATAGCTCTAGCTTCCATATATATGTATTTAGCGGTAAATTACCTCACATGCAGATATGTCTAAATAATATTGAAGCAGACGTGGAGCTTTGATATTTTGCGAAACACTCAGTGATGTTTGGTATTGTATGTTAAAGGGGTACTATACATACTTTAATATAGAATACAAAACATTCAGATTTGTTTCGCAAACTTTAAGGGATATAATTATGGAAAATTGTGACCCTGTGTGGAGGATGTACCAGAAGATTGGACCAATATTACCCATCATCGAACTCGATGTATTTTATATTACAATGTACCATGTTTGGATCAAATCGAATACTTCCTCTAATTTTCGGAAGTCATAATTGCTTACAAATCAACTGGGGGACGTACCAGAAATGGGGTCGCTAAATGTCCTCTTCTCTGCAGAGCATTTGCTTGACCGATATTGAAGGTGAGGCCCATTTTTTGAATTCATTGAACTAGATATGCCTACCCTACAGGCAACTTTCAATACAATTGCATTATTTTGAAAGTGAAGTTATAATTGAATGGGATCAAGTTTGCCAACCAAGGTCCTCGTAGGAGGAGAATTGGTTCTATAAAATATTTATCGGCCGATATGTTCAAATACATCCTCTCTCCTGTTTTTATACCCTCCACCATTCTATTAGCTTTGTAATTACGCTTGAAACTCCTCGAATTATTCATCGTAGACTCTACAAAGTATATATGTTATGTATCAGCGTAAAATTCTAAGACGATCTAAAGATGTCCGCCTGTCTGTCCGTCTACCTGTCTGTCTGTTGTAATCACGCTATCTTTCGAACGAATTGAGATAGATGGCTAACATTTTGCATAGTTTTAAATGGGCTATGTCGATCCACGTTTTCGTATAGCCCCCCATATGACGGTACCTCCTGATATTCGGTATTTTGATGATTTCAGCAACATTATTTACCGGAATCGTTTAAAATTTCGTATTGGAAGATCTTAATTGGTACTACAGCCTATGGCAAAACATTTCGTATATTCCCTATGTAACGATTTTCATTTAAGTGGTAGTTTTCGGATTTTTTTTTTTTTTGAAAATTTTCAAGTTCCTTCTAAATGGTGGAGGGTATTGAAAGTTAGACGCGGCCGAAATTTACTGCTTTTATGTTATGTTTATGTTTCTGGCCAAATATTATTTTTGGTTGGAATTTTGGAATTTTATAAAAAAAAAAAAAAAACATCAATGTGTCTTCTAATAAATGAATGGCCTGTTAGTAATTCAGTAAGTGTGCCAATGAGTTTGTTTAAAAATGTATATCAATTCTTAATATATATTTGCAATGTTTTACTTTTCATTTTGGAATTTTTATATTTATTAAATTTATACCTTTATTCTTTTTATATAATTTTAGAAAAAAAAATGTTAATTCCTTTTTGTAATGAATTGTTAAATTTAAATTCTTTGTTATTGTTATTTGTCATTGCTATCTCTTAAATTTATTTTTTTAAACTAATCTTTTCATAAAGTACCTTAAACGACAACATAAATAAATTCACAATAGAAATAAATTCTCTTTTTGGATATCTGTATTTTGTATGTCAGAGAAATGATTTAGAATTAGTAAAATAAGAATATAATGAAGATGATGATGATTTGATATTGAAATAAAGCGAAAAAGAGTACAATTAAAATGTGTTTTACTTTAATCAAAAACTGAATAAACTCTCAGGAGTAGTGGTCAATCTAAACAATCCAGTAGAAATTCAATAGCATTCCTTAAGAATGATCCGCTCCCCATACCAATGAAATTTTTAAGAAATTGATTTTTGTGACAATTTACTCGAAGAAGCACGAATCTATAATTCGAATCTATAATTCGTGCTTCTTGGTTTCCATTTATTTGTCCTAAATATGTCCCAGATATTTCCAGAGAATTTAAAATCAAAGCATATCTTAAGGCGCAATTAGATTAATATATCCGTTTCACAACACTGAAAGCTATACGCTTTTATATTGTAATTTTTGTTTGTTTCGAATGTCAGCCATCAGTGGAATATGTATATAATTGGAAAACGGATATTGTACCATATTAAATATTTACAGGATAAACCCAGCAGACTATGAAATTAGGACACAAAGATCACAAGTTAAGGTACACTTGCTTTTTTGAATTTCTTAAAATTTTGTAAATAAAAATTTTTAAATTACTCAAATATTGGGCATATAGTGTATTCGGTATTATAAAAGATAACAAAACGAGGATTATTATTATTTTTTTTTTCGGAAATTCGAATCACAAAAGGGGTATTTTTAGATAAAATTTCATAGTATGACTATGTACAAAAGAAATTTGAATGCTAAATATAGGCCATAATGCGGTAGATTTTGACTTTGAATGGTGTTAAATTGGTATTTAACAAGTAAGTTCGGCCGGGCCCTCCTCCTTTTGGAACGAATTTGGCAATTTTCAAAAAAAAAAAAA